CCCCCCCCAGCCAATATTTGCCATGCGTGAGCATCTGCTTTATCTTTAGTTAAAGTTTTAAGGCATTTGCAACACAATCAGATCGTAAATAAGTGCAGAAGATTAGAGGTGTTACGAGAGAGTAACAAACATAAAAAGGAAGAGGAGAAATAAGGACCATAGATGTTTGACAAGACAGAAGGAGACAACCACATCAGAGCACTTGCTAACCACCCACCACCCAAAGTCTCAACAAAGGAGACTGATCTATAGTAAAACCCAGTATACCTTAGTAGTGTCATTATTTTAAAAAGTACAGTATATGCAGTTTTTACAATCTTATAAAAGAGAAAACAAAAAATAATGTTATTACCAAGACAACAAACTCTTTGAAAACGCCCGAAGTCAATTCTTTTAACGAATACACTTTTGAGACAGTGGAGCATCACCTGTTCCACTGGACAGCCCTAAATGACCTCTGAGCTACCCTTCTCCCTCCGAGACCTAACATAGACAACACACTTTATGGAACATTACAGCAACTGCAGCAAACCTACACTTATCACTACATGGCATTGGACAGAAGGGCGAGAGCCCAGCTGTTGCTGGATCGATAACAACAACAACAACAACAACGAATACAATTTAGATAATAAATTCCTAAATGTCTTTAAAGCAAATGTCGCTTTCTTGGTAATAACATTCAGTATTTTCGCCGTCCTGTAAAACTAAAAAAAACTGCATACAGGCCCTACTGTACTTTCATCGCTTAAAACAAAAAAAGACCTAAACTGGCAACAACTAACTACACAGCAAATAAGAGGCAGGGGCATCAAAGAAGACAACAACTCTTACTTTACTCTTCGCCGGCTCGTCCTTGGCCAGCGTGAGGTTCCCTGTGAAGTACCAGCCAGGCCCGCAGCCCTTGGGAAATCTACAAATCCAAAAGACAAAAAGTAGCAATGTTTAACCCTTTGAACCCTCTGAATCAAAATATCCGTACGAACGCAACGCTGCAAATACGCTTGGGTAAGGGTGGGTACCGAAATATCAGTATGACACACCCACCCAAATTACCTGTATTACCTGTATTACCTGTCCTGGGCAACAACGTCATTGCACACCGGACAGGTCCATAAGTGCTCAGTTCCCCCCAGCACCAAAGCCCGCAAGGTATCCATACTGATTGTTCCGGTGGCTGTACCCACCCAAACACGACACATGTTAACAGAAACAGAACACAAATATGAAACAGCAGCATAAATAAACGACACCATCATAGTGAGAGTTCAACCAACAAAACGAGATAAATAGATAAGACCAACACCAAACGGAGTTGTAGAAAAGTATACCATAACCCTATCAGTACGCCCTGGGGTCATTTTGTACCCCCCAGGGTTGTATTCTTCACATTTTAGAATACTTCTAGTACGGAGATCTCTTTGAAACTTTCAGTATTTCTCAAAAAATCATTTTGACAGACTGCTATGCAAAGCGTACGGATCTGATTAACGAATAATTTCCTCTTTAGAAAATGGGGGCACAGAGTTCCCCACGTCGCATGGATACGATAGTAAAACACGAAGTACGGATAGGGTTAAGTGGTGGCACAGAGTTCCCCATGTCGCATGGATACGATAGTAAAACACGAAGTACGGATAGGGTTAAAACCTGTTCATTTGCCTTGCTTTTGATGAAACAATATCCATCTATCTTAAACAGAACTCAAGATATTCTCGACAGAACGAGTCGAGGGATGACTCTGGGGTACACCCCAAACACTCCAAAAAACAAACTCACTTGTCCTCAGATAAGGGCCCGACGTAGATGGGGTACCTCAGGCCGCGGTGCGCTGACAGGCCGGTCAGCTTTTTCCCAGAGGTGACCGCCGCCTGCCAGGTAGGGTACAGGTCCGCGGAGATGGGGCTGCCGAGCTTGGCCTTGACCAGGACCACCGTGTCCTTGAGCTTCTCCAGCATGTCGCGCTTCTCGTGGCGCACCTGCAGCACCAGTGTGAAGTCGTTCTTCTCCAGTTTGGTGATGTACTGCAGGTCCACGCAGGGAGGTCGT